GAGAGCCCATGGTTAAATTTTCAGGAAATTTGCAAGTAGCTGTTAAACCCTTGGTACCTTGTGATAGGCTTGGTGGGAGTATTTACACAACAGTAATTGGTAAACACACAAATCAGGGCCCTTTTTTGTTACGTTCCAGAGAGCTGGTTTGCCAGTACACTCGTGTGTGTATGTGTACCCATTTACAGATGAAGAAACTGAGGCTCAGAGCAGTGAAATTTTTGTCCAGAATCAACCAGTTTAGTAGGTAGAGCCCCAAATCCTATGCCCTTACCCAGTGTGCTGTCCCGCTTCTGTAGATGAGAAAATGTGTGTGAAAGAGACTTATACATGTCAAAGCTATAGAAATACTCGTTATTAAGCTTGATGCGGAAAAAGTATTTCATCTCCGTGCACCTGTATTTCTTTATCCTTTTGCACGGCCAACAATGATCTGATTATGTCCCCTCTCTCTCACTCCTCACCCCCATACTTCAAGTCATCTTTCCCACCTAGGTGCGTCCTCGAAAATTCTCCTTCTCTGTTCACTTTGCCTGTTTCTCAGCATCGCACTCTTCTTCATCTTCCACCCCCTTCCGGAGTCAGCACTCTGTTATTTCCTTGTTTCCCATCTCACTTTTCGTCCCACCCCCACCCCGCTACCCGAGCGGTGAGGAAGTCAGAATAGAATCTGCCTCCCCGCCTTGACTGCTCCCGCCCCCTTTATCAGAACCTCCGTGTAGAGAACTCTCCGTACTCCGGTCCCGCTCCCCCTTCACGGGTGACAGGGAGGCCAGACAGCTCCTAATCGGATCTCTTTCCTTGTTCTCCGACACCCCGCAGAAGCCGCACATTCCATTTGGTGGTCGTCAGAAATAACATGCTCAAGAAACCTGGAATTATAAAACTGCTTAATTAGAGAGAGATGGTTTCACTGGGATATGCCCAGTTTTCCCCGGTGGTTTTATCTCCTTCTCCAAGTGGCCCGCCCCCCAGCAGCTAATTGCTACCCTTAGCGTGATGCCACACAGGCAGTCACTCCCTTTATTTGCTGTGACACTGGTGCTGGCTCAGAAAGAGACATTCTGTCTCTGATGTTCAAACTCCTCTTCCTCATCAGCAAACTCTAGGAAGTAGATGTGAGTCGTGAGGGTAGGATCTTCAGCTTCAGCGGTCCCCAGTTACTAAAGGAGCACCTACTATGTGCTAGGTGCTGAGGATATGGCCAGGAGCCAGATTATGGATGTGCTTATGGAGCTCCGGATGCAGTGGGAGAGACTGATATGAAAATATTTGTTTAATATTGTGAGAAGTGCTTAAAGGAGTGATTTAGAGGGTGTAAGAGGAGCAGGTAATTTAATGAAGGAGTTGGGGAACGCTTCTCCTAGGAGGTGACCGTTAGCTGAGACCCAAAAGAGGAACAGCTGTGAGCTCAGCAAAGAACAGGGGACCGGTATGCCATCTGCAGAGGAAGAGCTTGGCCTATATAAAGAAATAATTGAAAGGGCTAAGAAGCTGGTACCTGAGCCTGCTCTGAAATTTGGAGTTGTGTTAGCGTTCCCATCATCAGTAATGGAAGGAAAGGAGAGGGGGAGGGAAGAAAGGAAAGATGGATGAAAGAATGCATGGGTGGCTGGATGCATGAATGAGTGAATGGATGCATGGGTGGATGCACCATGGACGGATGGATGGATACATGCATGAATGCATGGGTGAATGCATGGATGGATGCACCACAGGTGGATGTGTGTATGGATGGGTGGATGGATGGATAGGTGGATAGATGCATGGGTGGATGCACCACAGATGGATGTGTGTATAGATGGGTGGATGGATGCATGGGTGAATGCATGGGTGGATGCACCATGGGTGGAGGTGTGTATGGATGGGTGGATGCATGGATGGATGCATGGGAGAGAAGTAGGGAGAAAGGAGAGTTCTTTGGATGTTCCAGGAGTGACAAAAGCAAATTAAGGTTGGAAGTTGGGAGAGACTGGGCTGTTGGTCCAGATGAGATGGAGCGTGCAGTAGCTGGGAGCGTTGAGGGAGGCCGGGGCAGCGGAGGCTGGGTGGCTCAGGAGCACAGCCCACAGCCTGGGTATCCTGCAGAGCGGGGAGCCTGCTGCCGGGGCGTGGACAGAGTTGGGCAGCCCTCGGCATCACTGAGCTGCTGCTCCATGGCCCCAACGTCCATCACACCTGTGGCATGTGAAACAAACATGATGGCCCACCCCACATCTCTGCTCCCCGGTCACCACCACCGTCCCACAGGCTGCAGAGGGAACTGAGCATTTCCCCTCCAGGGGGTGTTTCCGGAGGTCAGGGTCTGGTGCAAGTCCAGAGCAGGGAAGAAGGCCCCATAGGAAACAACCTCACGACCGGGGGGCGGTGGGCAGCCAAACAATCACACAGGTCAGGCAGCAGGGAAAGTGGACATCTGGATGCCCTTCCTTGGTCCTCAGCAGAAGTGGGCACATCTGCTTCAAAGGGTCCCCTTCCAAGTGCCCAGTGCCCAGCCCATCGTGATGGAATATAACAGGGTGGCCCCTGCACACTGGCCATTGGGTGGCTACACGACATGTCTTTATGACCTTTATTCCCATCTCTCATTTAAACATACCGTGTGCTCCTCACAACAAATTTTGGAAAAGACAGGGAAACAAGTGTTTCTACATACTGTATCTTCTTCACTGGGAACTACGAATATTTCCCTGAGTCCATAGATACTCATCGCCAGGACGATTTCATTTCTAACTTTTTCTTTTGAAATCCCTTTGGACTTAGAGTTTCAGACATAGCAGGGAGTTGCCATACCCTTCAACCAGTTTCCCCTAATGTTAACATCTAATGTAACCATGTGACAGTTAGTGACGCCGGGAAATTGACGTGGATACTGTTAACTGTTCACTAAACTGCAGACCTCACCCGGATCTTGCCAGCCGTCTCACTCACATCTTTCTCCTAGTCCAGAACCACATCCGAGACCCCACACTGTACTTAGGACGTTGTCGTGTCTCCTTAATCCTCTCCCATCTGACAATTCCTTGGCCTCTTCTTTGTCTTTTCAGGACCTTGACACTTGCAGAGGCTGGACAATTATTCCGTAGAGTGTCCCTCAGTTGGGATTCGCCTTTTGTTTTCTCCTGAGTCTGTTGGGGTTATGCGTTTCTGACCCGAAAACCACAGAAGTGATACTGTGTCTTCCCCAGTACATCCTATCAGGGGGTTCAGGTTGTCCATTTGAGGTGTTACTGAGGATGTTAACCTTCGGTGAATGTGGTGCGTGCTGGGTTTCGTCACAGTGTGGTACCTGTTTTTCAGAATAACGTTTGAACGGCCATTGGCGTTCCATCATAGCTCTCTGCCATAATCAGACCCTCTTTGGGTACATTTACACTGTAGCTTGTTTTGGCTTGGACTGTTACACAGAGAATGCTCCACTGACCATTCCTCGTTGGCACATCTTAGTACACGTACCTGATTATTTTCTTGGGATAAATTCCTGGAAGCAGAACCGCTGGAGCAGCGATTATTTTTACACTTTGAAGGCTGTGCATGCCCGAGGCAGGGCTGTTTGTGTGTTTCCATGTCTGTTTCTTTGTTTGTAATCAGTTTTATTAAAGTATAATTTAAATACTGTAACATGGACAGATTTGAAGCATATATTTCAGTCGATTCTGGCAAATGTGTATGCCCATGTAAGCACCATCGCAACCACAAGATAAAATGTTTTTGTTGCCACCCCCAAAGCTCCTTGATGCCCCTGGCAGGCAGGCAGTGCTCGCCCCCCTCACCCCCGGGCAAGCGCCGATCTGGTTTCTGTCACGACAGGCTGGTGTTACCTATGCGAGGACTTCCTGTGGTTGGAATTGTACAGCGCGCCCTCTTTCTAACTGTCTCCTTTGGTCCGGATCGATGTCTGTGACATTCATCCGTGTCGTTGTGAGTAGCGGCCCCTGGCTCGTTTTTATGGCTGAGTCATGTGTCCTGTTGTCCAGACACACCACACCTGTTTGTCCCCTCTCCCATCGATGGCATGTGGGCTGTGTCCTGTCCGGGGTATCGCGGGTAAAGCTGCCGTGACCACTAGCATGCACGTGGACGTGCGTTTTTCATGTCTCTCAGGTACGCCCCTAGGAGTGGAATTGCCAGGGCGGAAGTAGGTGTAAATTTGACTTCTCTGGACATGACGGGGCGGAGTTATTTTCAGGGTCATCTCACAGCACAGGCCACCGGAGGCTTGGGGGCCTGGTCCAGGGGCAGGGGGAGGGAGGGAAACAGGATTCGTGGAGCTCCGCTCCGTGCCAGGCACAGCGCTTGGTGCCTTCCTTGCTCATCTCCTTCGACCCTCCGAGCAAGCCCGTCAGGTAGGAGCCGCGACTCCCGTTCTGTAGGTGTGGAAACGGAGGCTCACGAATGTGTAGCAGGGGCACATTCAAACGTGGCTCTGTCTGAGTCCCCAAGTCCATGTTCATTCACCAGACACCAGCCTGCCTCCTTGGTGACAGCAGGTGACGGAGCCGGGAAGACCATGTATCTTCCCCCCATCCACCTCTGGGCCTGTCCTTACCTGCACCCTGTGCCCCATCCCACCCGTGCCTCCAAGGGCGGTCCCGTGATGGACCAGGCCAGCCCTTGAGAGATGGGGGTGATGAGTGTGCCGGGCAGGGACTGTGCCCCCACCTGTGGCCCTGAGCCCTCAAAGCCGCAGCAGGCACCAGGGAGTGACCCACACTGCAGCTCTCTGCCGAAGGTGTCCGGTTTCTCCCTCCCTGAAACGTGATCCGCGGGGCTCTGATCCTCCGGGCTGGTGGGCAGCAGCGGGTGAGGGCAGCGGGCAGGGGCCGCGTCTCCCCGGCCATATCTCAGGCCCATTAGGAGTGGGCCTGAGTGCTTTCCAGAGCTGATTAATGGCCTGCCTGTGACCTGGAATGTCATTATTGCCCGGGCCGGGGACCCCCCGGCTGGGTCCTCTGGGTCTTTACTGCTAACAGTAATTGATGCTTTCTGTGTGGTTGCAGGGAAAGTTCTATCTGGTCATTGAGGAGTTGAGCCAGCTGTTCCGCTCACTTGTCCCCATCCAGCTGTGGTACAAATACATCATGGGTGACGACTCCTCCAACAGCTACTTTCTGGGCGGGGTCCTCATGATCCTCTACAGCCTCTGCAAGGTGAGGTGGTCCAGAGTGCCGGTGGGGGGAGGTTGGCGGAAGGGCTGGCCTACGGAGGGCCCCATTCACTAGCTGGGTTTGGGGGGCAAGGGGGGAGCTTGGAATGACACCCTAATCTCTTTTAAATTGAGGTGAAGTTCACACAATGCAAAATTCAGTGACATTTAGCTGCACTACAGTGTTGTACAACCACCACCTCTGTCTAATTCCCAGATATTTTCATCACCCCCCCCACAAAAAAAAGCCCTGTGCGCATAAAGCAATCACTCCCCCTCTCCTCCACCCTCCCCACCCCAGCCCCTGGAAGTCACTAGTCTTTGTTCCATCGGGATGGATGCGCCTATTCTGGACACTCACGGAATCACACAGCGCGTGACCTCGTGGGTCTGGTTTCCCTCACGCGGCTTCGTGTTTCCAAGGTCCCTCCGCATGGTAGCACGCGCCAGGACGTCCCTCTGTTTCCTGGCTGAACCCGCCCCGACTTCCTGCCCGTAAGGCTCACCCTATGCTATCCCTTCACGTGGTCTTCTTCACAGCAACCCTTCAAGACACGTATCATTCTCAGCCTCGTCTTATGGGCGAGGACACCGAGGCTCAGAGGGAAGGAACCTGCCCAGGAACCGTGCTGGGAACGCGGCACTGGCACGCACGCCAGACCCAGGCGGCCCGCCTGCAAACCCCGCAGCCCTTAACCCACGGGCCGCCCTGGGGCCGCCGCCGGCTTTCTGTTCCTCCCAGAGGGCGCACCCCCGCCTCTGCCCATCCGAGTGCAGCGCTTCTCTTTCCGTCACTGGTGCCAATCAGTTTTTCTCCCCCGCCAAGAAGTACACCCTCCTCTTTCTTTTTCCTCCTCTGTTTCTGGGCTCAGAGAATCCAGGGCGAGGCAGAATGTTTGTGTTCTTCTCGGTCCTTCCTCCCAGCGGTCCTAGCCAGGCAGTCCATGCAGTGTCAGCCACTGGGGCTTCTCTTGCCTGCTGATCCTGATCGACTGGCAGGGGCTGACTGGAGTGCTAGATGGGGAAGGATTGTCAGGCTCTGGCTGGGCTCAGAGGAGGAGTCCTGTGATCGATTAGCAATGCCTGCCCTGGGCTTGGGAGGGGGCAATACGGTACGCATGCTGTGTTTTGGCTATCCTGGCCCAGATACAGGGGAGGCTGTTGATGTAAGGCAGGGAGACCAAAGTAAAACTGGTGGGAGGGAAAAATTTCAAATGTTCCATGAAAATGCTCAGAGGCAAAGACGAGAGGTTCAGGGGGCTGGTGCAAGAGCGGTGAGAGAGATCCCTGGATGCTTTTCAACCGTCACCCCGCTTTCCTTCCAGTCCTTTGACATCTGTGGCCGCGTGGGTGGAGTTAGGAAAGCCCTGAAGCTTCTCTGCACCTCTCAGGTGAGTCGGCTCCATGTGGTCCTGGCCAAAGTCGTAGGAACTAGGAGCCAGGCGCCGGGAACAGATCTCATCACGCCCCTCAGGGTATGGCCCCAGCAAGGGTCCGCAGCTGTGTTTGTCTCTCTCCCCTCCCCTCCCGCAAACAGAACTACGGAGTCCGGGCCACTGGGCAGCAGTGCACAGAAGCTGGTGACATCTGTGCCATCTGCCAGGCTGAGTTCCGGGAGCCTCTGATCCTGATGTGCCAGGTGAGCGGCGCTGGGCAGGGACCACCCCGGAGACTGTGGCTGGGGGACCAGCAGGCAAAGGTCTCCAGTGCCTGTCCCGAAACCAAACCTTGGGGCTCGGGGATGGGACTGTGAGAGCAGTGTGGTCCAGACCGGAGTCGGTCAGATCCAGGTTCAGATCTCACCCGTCTCTCATTAGCTGGGTGTCCTCGAGCAGGTCACTGCACCTCAGCTTCAGTGTCGAAAGTGAACGATGCGGTATGGCGCGGTATCAGAACATCCCGGTTGTGCAACCCGGCCGCGCTCTGGACCCAGGGCGGGCCACTCCGTCTCTCTGAGCACCGGCTCTTCCCATTTATACGACGAGTATCACAGCCTGACCTACTTCGGAGACATAGTATTATGATGCAATGAGATCATCTCTGGAAAGAGCTAAATTTAAATTTAGTCCTAAAAGTTGTTCTTATAGAATTATCGTTATAATTCTTATTACCACTTGTTTTCATTGTTAATAGCTGCGGGTCACCAACCCTGAGCAGTGAGTACTGGTTAGTCCCTTTTAACTTCCTGATTGTAGCCCCAATCCGCTGCCGCCGCCTCCTCCTACTCCTGACATCGGGGGCTGAGATGTCCATTCAGCAAATGGGTGTGAGTTGAGCATCCTATCAGACACCAGGGAGGAGAGGCAGAGGGCACATAGACCCTGTCCCAGCCTGCTCTGGAGCTCACGGCCTCCCTGGGGACACAGACACATACATAAATAACTATGAAACAAGGCAGGCGGTGATAAGTGCTGTGTAAGAGAGATTCATGCAGCGTCCCGGGGGACCCGGAAAGGCGGAGATGAGCTCCAGGTTGGAGAGGCTTCTGGGAGGAGGCAGCGCCTGCAGACTAGGAGGAACCGAGAGCATATGGCTCTCGCACCAGCACCGCCTTCCGGGGCTGAGAAGACGGGAGGTGCGGTCCTTTTTTTGGCATCAGCAACTTTTTTTTCCCCCCTGCTTTTGCTGTTTGGGGAGGAAGCAGGTTTGTTTTTCATTTTTTTAATTTTATTTGCAAATTGAGAATATTTTTACATGGTCCAAAATTCAGACTGAGGAATTCAAGAGTGAGGAGTCGTGACCACTGAATGCCACGGGAGACCTAGGTTGGACCCTGGCTCAGAGAAAGGACACGCGTAGGAAAGCTGGTCCGACCAAACCATGATGAAATCTGGAGTCCCGTCGATGGGGGCGCCTCACAGTGTGTTCCTCCGCGCTGACAAAGGGGCCGTGCAGTTGCGCGCGGATGTTGGCAGACTGGGGACTGGGAGACGGATGTGCGAGGACTTTCTGTACTAATTGCAACTTTTCTGTTAGTCTCCAGTTATTCCAAAAGTAAAATTTTATTTTTAAAAATGCCCTAAAGACATAAAAAGGAAAGGGGTGACAGGCCTCCCACCCTTGTCCCTAGCTCCCCGGTCCCCTAAGTACCCACACAGGCAATTACTGTTTCCACGTTCCTCCATCTTTCCAGAGACGCCTCATAAACACACACACACGTGCACACACACACATGTCTTTTTCAAAAAGACGTTAAGTTGTAGCATATTCTACCCAAGCTGCATCCTGCATCTTCTCCTATTGACTTAAAACTCTCTTAAGACATTGCCACTTACTTACCTCCCACCCCACTCCTGGGCTGGGCCCCAGGTGGTTTAACCACTGTCCTCTCGATGGGCATCGGGTGGCTGATCCCCTTTCGTTGTCACAGACGTGGCTGCCCTGAGAGTTCGGAAACGGGGAGAGGTGTCGCCCCTGCCTGGGCCCAGCATGTTGATTAAATGCGTCCATTCAAGTGACGCATTTAGAACCACGCCCGGCACGTGCCCAGGGTCCAATAACTATGAGTTCTCATTGGCACGCCTTCCGTGTCACACTCGTGCGAGCTCTTGGTGGGATAGATTCCTGGTGGCGGTGTCACCAGGTCAGAGGGCTGAGTTGCCCTCCATAGTGTATCCACTGACTCGCCCAGTGCCCAGTGCGACACGACTTCTCGCTCCCCGCCCCCGTCGACTCACCGCGTTATCAAGTCTTTTCTGAGCTTTGCCACTCTGACAGGTGACAAACGCTATTTCAGTGCCGTTTTAAGGTGCATTTCCCTAATTATGAGCATCTTTTCCTATGCTTCCAAGCCATCTCTGTTTCCTTCTCAGTAGCAGCGAGTATTCGAACGTGGTGTCACGGTGAAAGTCTTTCTTCTTCCTTTCTGGCAATCTCCCCAAGCCTTCGTCTGTTTCTCTCTCATGCATTCTCCTCCTGGCACCATGCCGTCTTCCCGTAACTGGATTAGAATTCTTGGAAGGGGTTGGACAAGACACCACTGTCCCAGGTTGAGGAGCCGGAGCCACAGCCACAGCCACAGCCACAGCCACAGCCCGCGGCGGGGGAAGTCTACCGCCATGGGCAGGCGGAACACATGCCTCAGCCTCGCTTCGCCGCTGTGAGCCAGGCCAGGGATGGCAGAGATGATGTCCCCAGCTGAAAGGGCCTTGTACTTCCTAAATGCACTGACTTAGTGAAGAAATGAATGTACGAGTCAAATGTGTCTTCTTAATGAAGGCTTCCCTCACTCTGCTTCCCCACACTAGCTGGTGCTCCCAGCTCTGTGGCCTCCTAGGTCCCCGTGGTTTTCCTTCGTGGCGCTTACCCCACTCGTCAGCTTCACAGTTCATCAGGCCACTGGCTGTGTAGGATCTGTCTCCTCTTTGCTGAACTATAAGCCACTTGAGGGTGGCAGCCATGTCTGTCTTGTGTAGCAGCAGACTCACAAACTCAGTGACTCAGTGAATATTGGGTGGGTGGGTGGGTGGAAGGGAGGGAGGGAGGGTGGGGAGGGAAGATGGGTTGGAGCCATGAAATGGGCTGGATGGTTGGGGTGGGGATGGGTGGTGGCCGGGGGGAGGGGTGGGGGAGTGAGTGCAAAGCCGGGTGCATGGAGGTGTAAGCGTGTGGGTGGCTGGGCGGCTGGGAAATGGGTGGGTAGATGGGTGGGTGGATAGGTGAGCGGACGGGTAAATGACAACATGGGGGGATGGGGGCATAGATGGGTGGCTGGACAGATAGTTGGGTAGACGGATGGATGGATCAATGGACAGATGCACAGAAGGACAGAGGGAGGAAGAGCCCACCAGGCTAAAGGAACATCCTGTTTCCCCTTCAAAGGGTCCTCAGGTTAAGGTCAGTGTGTCACTCACACCCAGCCACCCCCGCCCCCCAGAGCCAGGGCCTGGGAAGCAGCCTGCCCCCTGAAGCCAGTCGGGCGGACACTGGGCGCGCTGGGAGGTTTGCGCCGCAGCTCAGACCGCACATGCTTGCCCCACAGTCGGCCGCCCCACACAGTTCACGGCGCACCTCCTGCCAGCCCGCACAGGGCCAGGGAAGAGGCATTTCGAACACAGAGACAGAAACTTGGCCTGTGGAAAGGGCTCCCTGCCAAAGAGAAGAGTCAGAGTGTGACTGGAAAACAAGCCGCCCTCCAGCCCTCGGCCACCCCGCGTCTGCCCTTCGGAGTGCCCGCGGTGGGAAGGGAGGCGGGCAGGAGGAGGCCGCCTACGGCGGGTTTCGTGCCGCGCGGCACCTCGCACCCAGTGCCCTGCGGCAGGCCTTGCCTGCTTCCGTCCTTGCCGGCACCTTGAGGACCCCCCAGGTCAAACTGGCCCTCCCGTAACATACCCCTGTAATACCGTTGAGCTCCTCTAGAATACTCCATCATTGGGCACCTACTGCATACCGCACTAGGAATGGGTTTACAGGAAGCTTCTGGTCTGGCATAGAGAGACAGATGATAAACAGTAGGCAGAACGTAATCATATTACTGTACATGATAATGTATGCATATTACCCAGCACTTACAGAATACTTACTATTGGCCAGGCATAGTTCTGAGTGCCTTCTTTTTGTATTGGTTTATTTTTTTACTTAGTAAAGAACATTTTATATTATTTTCCCCAAACGTTTTATTTTGAGACGTTTTAAACCTAGAGAAAAGTAGAATGAACACCCTTTTGTCCTTCATCTAGATTTACTAACCATTAACATTTTACTGCGTTTGCTTTTCCTATGTAAATTTCCCCACCAAACCTGTTCAGAATGAGTTGCTGACACTTTGATTCTTCATCCCTAAATATTTCAGCATATATCTCCGAAGAACAAGGACATTCTCTCCCATTACCACAATCCCACCAGCATACCCAGGGAACTTGAAATTGATATAAAGTCCCAATATTCAGATTTCTCCACTTGTCTTAAAAACATCTTCCATAGCTAAGGTTCTTCCCCCCATCCAAGATCCAACCAAGAATCATATACTGCATTTGATTGTCATATCTAAGTACTTTAATCTTCCTTTGAGGGGAGCACTATTATCCCCACTTTATAGATGAGAAAACTGAGGCACAGGGAGGTTAAATCACTGGTCCAAGTTAAAACCAGAAACCGGGGGAACCCATTAATGTTTCCAATCTCCCTGCATTTCTCCTGACCCCTGTGGTCTGTTCTCAACCCAGCTGCCAAAGGGATCTTTTCAAAATGCAAATCGCATCCAGGCACTCCGCAGCTCAAAGCCCTGCGGTGGTTCCCTATGTCTCTCAGAATTAAAGCCAGAGTCCTCAGAATGGCTCACAAGGCCCGGTATATTCTGCACCCTCCCCCATCCACTCTCTGATCTCATCTGCCCCCCTCCCACCACACTCCAGGCTCAGCCACCCTCTCCTTGCCGCCGTCCCCCAGCATGCCAGACCCACTGCCGCCTCAGGGCCTTCGCACATGCGGTTTCCTCCGCCTGGAGCATTCTTCCCAGATACCGCCGGGGCTAGCTCCTCACCCTCCCTCAAGTTTTACCCAAATGTCGGAATCTCGGTGAAGTCCTCCCAGCCACCCTGTTTAACATTGCAGTGCCCCCCACCCAAGCAGGTCCTCTCCCCCTTCCCTGCATTTCCATCTCCATACTTACAGCTGACACACTCTACCTGTTAGAGATTCATTTGGCCAGTTGTCATGCCAGCTAGCATGGAAGCTCCAGGCGGGCAGGAATTGCCTGTTCTGTTTGCTGCTACATCCCCGGCTCGTAGGGCCAAGGCGGGTGTGTGGCGGGTGTGTGGCAGGCGCCCCCCCCCCCCGTGCAGCACCCTGACGGTGCCGATTGCTGTCCCCGCAGCACGTGTTCTGCGAGGAGTGCCTCTGCCTCTGGCTGGACCGCGAGCGCACCTGCCCGCTCTGCCGCTCCATTGCCGTGGACACCCTGCGCTGCTGGAAGGACGGGGCCACCTCGGCACACTTCCAGGTGTACTAGGACTGGAGCTCTGGCACGCGCAGGGAGATGGCACGGGCTCAGCGTCGCTGGGTCCAGCTCTGGGGGTCCAGCTCTGGGGACTTCCTGGAACACAGGCCTCGAGCACGTACTGTCCTGAGTCCTGCCTGTTCCCACCTCTTCCCCTAAAGCCCCTGTCCCCCCACCTTCGCCGTTGTCTCCTGTTCCGTGGCATGGTGCGTGCGTCCTTCCCTGCAAATGCAGAAGCCTCCCAACCCAGACTCGCCCTCTGCCCAGGTAGGTCTGCCCCCTGCCCCCACTCCAAGTCAAGGAAGCTGGAACAGACAAAGTCCCACCTGTTGAGTATTTTGACTGGAGGTAGCCAAATACCTGATGCTGCAACCTGGGGAGAGGCCTGCAGATCCCTGCCTCCCCTCCCCCGATGGCCCAGGTCTACGGGTGAGGATCACTGAAGTCTTCTGCAGGCAGGACATCAAGCACCCTGCCTAGAGGACCACTCGGACCCTCGCAACAGCTCCAAGGGTGGAGGGACTGTTGTCTCCTCCGTTGCACAGCTGCAGAAGCACAGAGCTCCACGTGGCCACTAGGCCAGGGCCACCCCGCTCGCCGTGGTGGGCTGAGTTGCCAGCCCAGGCCTGTCTGGCCTCAGAGCCTGCGCTCCTAACCACTGTGCTGACCTGCCGCTCAGACGCTGCAGGCGTGGGGCCTGGCAGACGTGGTTTTTTAAAAGCACGAGAGGCGATCTTGATGCCCCCGGTGGCCCAGGCGCATAGCATATTTAATTTGGACTGGTCGAGAATGCTAATGGCAAATGCTGCCTCCGGAAGTCAGGTTGTAGCTGGGACCCAGGAAAGACTTGTCCAGAAATCGCTTTTTGCCCGAGCTCTGGGCCGGGATGCTGATTCGTGTGCGAGTAGCAAGAGAGGCCAGCTTTGGTCCAGATGCGGATAGTGCTGGGTCTGCACACCTGTCCGGGTTTCTTTTCCCCTCCTGTTTTTGTCCCCTCCTTCCCTTAAGCCTCAGAGTTGTCAACAGCCCCCACGGACATGACCTCTCCCCTGGTAGCCTTTAGACCTGACAGGGACAATCCAGGTGAGGGATTGGCTCACGAGCCAGGGAGGTGGCAAAGAGCATAGTAGCAGTGTTCCTGTGAGCTCTCTCTCAGAGCCACTGATCTCTGCAGCAGAACCACCTCCCTCCCTGCTCTGAGATCTGGGAGGGGAGGCACAGGTGATCCCACAGAGGCCATTGGAATCTTGCCTGTCCTACCCTTTCTGCCAACCCTATTCTCTCACTGACAGCCTCAGCACCGTGGGCTGGCGTCCACGGCATTTCCGAGAAAGCAGTCTGGGCGGTTAGTGAGCAGATTAGCAAGAAAGCCGCAGGGCACATGGTGGGGACCTTGCCACCCGCCAGCTCTCAGCTGGTGCTCACGTGGCCGGCCCATCCCCAGCAGATTCAGGAGATCTGCCCCTGTGTGCTATCAAGCCAGGACCTTTTCTTCCCCCTGACATCCTGGCTCTTTCCTGGTACCCAGCAAGACACCCCTTCCAGGGTTGCATGGCATCTTTCAAGCTCTGTTACTATGGCAATGGCTGCGATGTTACAATCCCACTTGCCTGGATAATCAAGTCGGAAAGGGAAGTGGAGGGAAAACGGAGCCCAGTGGACGCGGCGTCTCTGCCCCCCTCGCCTCCAGGAAGAACCGAAGGGAAGGAGTACAAGCTTCTGCAACTGTTTTTTCGATCAGAGCTCCCTGCCGGCAGATGCCGTCGAAGAGGCACGCGACATGGGAGCTGACGACGACGTACGGAAGTGGCAGCAGGTGACTGAGCAGGTGGAGCAGCCTGTGGGAGTCGGGCCTGGAGTGCCGATTCTTTGTGTTTATTCGTGTACTTTATTCAGGTGACCCTGGTTAATAAGTTCTATAGGTTTCAGGTGCACCACTCTATAACCCGCCATCTGTATGTTGTATTGAGTGTTCACCACCCCAAGTCAAGCCTCCTCCCATCCCCTCTTATCCCCCTTCACCCCCTTCTACCTGCCCCCACCCCTCCTCACCTCTGGTCATCACCGGACTGTTGTCTGTGTCTCTGAGTTGTTTCGGGGTTTTTTTTGTTTGTTTTGCTTTGTTTTGCTTAATCCTTTCACCTTTCGCACGCAGCTCCCCCAACCCTCCTCCCCTCTGACAGCTGTCGGCCTGTTCTCTGAGTCTGTTTCTATGTTCTTTGTTTATTTTCTTAACTCTGTGTGGCTTTGAGAAATCACTTCACCTTCCTGTAGCCATCTCCATGGCGACGACACCTAGTGTATTATTTACTGGACCAGGAAAACTCACAATGTGGATTACTCGTGAATACACCGGTGATTTACTCCATTACCCTCATGCCCTTCCACACACACACACACACACACACACACGCACAATTCTCTGACATTCTGCACGTAACAAGCCACACCTCTGACACTGTGGAGAGTGTCACATGCGGGGGACACTCGAGGTAAGGTGGGATTTTATGTGTTCATCTCCTATCCTCCAGGGAAATTCCTGTCTAGAAACTCCCCTTTGGGGTGGGAGGCTCTAACTTCTGCTCTAGGCCGGAAGAGTGGCCAGTGCCGGGTTTTCCAAATGCCGAGCCGAGCGTATTCCTCAGCCCAAGCCTGAAAGCGGCCAAGAGCCGCCACCGTGGGGAGAGAAGAACGGTGCCGCTCTCCTTTACCCATCTGGGCGCCGCAGCCCATTTATTACGAGCGGGATTCGTCGAGTGTCAGAGCGGAGCACCTGCTCTTAATATTTTATGTCTCGCCGACTCGAGTTCCACGAAGTCCTTGGAAACGGCCCTCTGAACGTGAAGTGTCTTGAGTATAATGAATGTGAGGGACTGAGACGGCCAGCTCCGGGCCTGGACGTCACAGACTCCTCACGTTCCAAAGAGGAGCGTCTGAGGGGCACTGGACTGGACACCTCCGGGCTGCGGAGACCCGGGCTGGGAGGAGGAGATGGGAAGCGAGTCCTGGAATCTGTCAGTACTTCTGCGCTGGGCCAAACAGCCAGCTGCCTTTGGTGGTTTCAATGTCCCCCCGAAGTTTCCTTCTGCCAATAAATATCATCTGTCGACGAAACCCAATCTGCGTGGTCCCGAGTCTTCGGTCGCCTCTCACAGCCGGGTGGAGCCATTTGGGGAAAATGCAAGGAAGCTCCTGGTGCAGCAGGCGGCCCCCTGACACTGGGTGCCCCCCCCCCAGGGCCGTCCCACCGCGTGGCAGGTGACGTTCTCAGGAAGCGGCTCCAGGGTTGACCAGCAAGGGGACGAGTGAAGCGGGAGAGGGAAGGGGACGGGGACAAGCGAGAGGGAGCCTTCCCGACAAGTGGCTCCTGAGCTGGGTCCCACGGGGGCTCTGGAGTGTCCGTCACATCTAAGAGTCAGTCCCACCCCGAGGTCTTTGACCCCCGTGCTCAGTCCTTGTCACTGGGCTGATTGGGGCGGGACGGGGGGGACTCCCAGGCACTCCGCTGCAGGGGGCCCCAAGCACAGAGCACACACGGGACAGGACGGCACGCAGACCTGGCAGAAGAGGTGTGGCCCAGGCACCTACAGCACCCAGGACAGGCGTTAACTACGGGCCGTTCGGGCCTGGGACGCAGAGGCTGGTGTAAGAAGGGTTTTCCAGGTGCCGGGTCATGACGGAAGTTTAAAATGTAAATTACAGCCCTGGATGGTCTGGTCAATTGGTTGGAGCGTCGTCCCATAGGACAAAAATCACAGGTTCAATTCCTGGTTGGGGCACATACCCAGGGTGCAAGTTCAATCCCCCGTCAGGGTGTGTGTGAGAGGTCAACCAATTGATACGTTTCTCTCTCTCTCTCCACCCCCCACCCACACTTCTTCTCTCTCTCAAAGAAATGAAAAAAAAATGTCCTCTGGTGAGGGTAAAAACATTAAAGTGTAAATTATGGTTGACCTTTGAACAGCACAGGGATTCAGGGTGCCGCCCCCCCCTCCATTCAGTCAAAAATCTACATATATGACTCCACCAAAACTTAATAACTACCTCCCTGGCTGGTGTGGCTCAGTGGATCGAGTGCCAATTTGCAGACCAAAAGGTTGCTAGTTCGATTCTCAATCAGGGCACGTGCCTGGGTTGTGGGCCGTGTCCCCAGTGGAGGCACGTGAGAGGCAACCAGTCGATGTTTCTCTCACACATCAATGTTTCTCTCCTCTTTCTCCCTCCTTTCCCCTCTCTCTAAAAATAAAAAGAAAAAATAGTTTTTAAAAAACTTAACTAATGACTAATTGCCTACTATTGACCGGAATACCAATAACATAAACATTGATTAGCATATATTTTGCCTGTTACGTGTATTATATACTGTGCGCTGTATTCTTATAATGAAGTAAGCTAGAGAAAAGAACACGTTACTAAGACAATCGTAAGGAAGGGAGAATACGGTCGGGAAAAATACCCGTGTGGAAGTAGACCCGCCTGGTTCACACCCGAGTTGCTCAGGCGTCAGCTGTAACAGCGTTAGGTAACAATTCATGCCTCACGGGGCAACATGACCAAGCCACCACAAACACATCGCGCAGGTCCTTGAAAACCACTTCATATGTGGCTTAAATAGAAGGACCAGATGTGTGGCTCATGACGGGAGAGGCCTCGGGTGCCGCTGGAGTCAGAGACTCTGGGAACGGCGTTAGAACCCTGTCTTTCCAGCCCTCGGTGCTGCCTCCTCCAAGGCGGTTTGATTTTCAGGGGAACGGATCCTGAGTGGCACTTAGGTTCTTCTACCAGCTTCTTCCCCAAGGATCAGCAGAGACCTTCTGCTTCCCCAGAGCTCCGGCGGGAGTCGGAGGTTGACTCCTTCGCGTGGTCCCTGGGCAGGGTGTTGAGCCCAGGAGGTGGGAGCAGAGGTGGTTCAGAGGAGGGAGTCCTCAGTCACTCGAGTCACCTGGACTCATCCAGCATTAACAGGGCAACCAGCTCCTGAGAGTGGGGGAGGGGGTGGTCGCTAAAGACAAAAAGGATCTGTTATCTAGAAAAACAACTTGTTCTCGACCCACTATTCCTAGGGAGAGACTAGAACTTGGTCTTTTGGTACCTCTCATTGAGACCAGGTAATCGCAGGTGGAAGTACCTCACCAGAATGGCCCATCTGCCCGTAGTTGGAGTATCAGTACGCAGGCTCATTGGTTTATCTACATGATGATGGCATACATAAGTGAGGCATGGTTTTGTGCGTGACCTCGAACTTGACCAATAGGCCTGTTCCCCCAACCCATTGCCCAGTCCAAGGCTACTGTTTAGGCCAACCCTCCCCCTGGGGGGGGGGGGCTTCTCAGAAATATGAGACAGAAGGGAGGTGAGTGTGTGACCTTCCTTCTGCCCCTGGGAAGGATGGGTGCGCAGCCAGGTCCTCCCCCAGTCTTCGGGGACCAGCCTTCCACAAGGAAATGAACACGCAAAGGCCTTTAGCTGGAAGTGCACAACCAGTTTTTTAATAAAGTCATTACAAATATGTACAAAGCGTCTCCAAGGTATGAAATTCCTCTTACAAAAGAGCAAACGACCCAGCAAGGGCAGAACCCAGAACAGAACGTCCCCACGCTTATTGCCGCTCTGACTGAGCCAGAGGCCCCGCCCAGGTTCCCAACACCCCGCAGCCGTCCCCACCACAACGCAGGCCCCTGGGCGCTTACAGTGCAAAAGACCTTGGGAGGAACTTGGGGATCGCACTGGGGAGGGGACAGGAAGGAGGTCAGAAAAGCTTCCCATGTCCTAGGAAGGAAGTCAAACAGGCCCTGTTTACAAATTAGGAATTCCTCCCAGGCACCTGACAGAAACCGGGAACACAGAGGGCAGGGGACAAATACATAAACCCCAACTGAACCATCCAGCCTGCCCTGCAGTGTCCCTAAATGCAACACTACTGGCAGTGAACCCAAGTCAGGCTCACCTGCTCCCTGCTGGGCCCCTAGCATGGGCTTGCCCTTGAACTAGCAATGCCTTGGAACCAGCTCGGGAAGGAATCCAGCATTCACGGGGCCATCGGCTCATGAGCTTGGGGGGCAGGGCGCCACCCAGACCTGAATCCAGATCTTGGCTCGGCCACTTCACTGTCTGAGCCTCAGTCTGCTAACCTGTAACATGGAGATGGTAACAGTGTCGTCTTCCAGAGCGGGGCGAGGCCTAGCCGAGGGGGGAAATGTGTGAGAAGCACGCCCTAAACGGTCGCTCTCATTGCACTCCCGTGTGAAGCAGCAGCGGTCGGCCCCTCGGTGCTGGGAACGAGCTTTGAGATCGCAAGCTTTTTAATTGCCTTCATGATAGCGTGGCGCTCTGTAAATACACATACTCTAGAACAATCTGCCAGCGAGGCTGGGGGTCATAGCAACGACCTGACAAATCTGTTAAAAACCGTGAACCAGACTGGGAAGGGACACGTCGAGTTCTAAGCGGGGCTGCCCCTCCGCAATGAATAAGTGAGCCTCCCCCCAGATGGGATTCCACGACCTGGCACATTGTAGGCACTCCATCAACAGGTGTTGAAGGGGCGAATTAAAATTTCCAAAAGAAACTTTCCGTTTAAGCTTTAAAAGGACACTTGGACGTCAATTTCCTCTATCAGCTCCCAGGGGACTAGGCCAGAGTATCTAGCCTGTTCCCCATTTAGCACCCCCCCCCCAAAAAAAGGCTTCAGACCCCCTGAGTGGCCTGGGGGCACTTAGGGAACATTCAGAAAAGGAGCTGATATCAACATAGAAGAACGACACCTGTGTTCTGGTCACTGCAGCTTCGAATACCAGCTGGACACTCGGAAAGTCCACAGTGGCAAACCAGTGTCACCAGAAGATGCTTATGTGGCATCAGAGAGGGACTCCCCCTCATTCCACGGCGAGGAGATATTTTTAGCACTGTCAGAAGCATTATAAAATAGAGCTAGGAGAACATAAGGTCAGCTACACAAATTGTGAAAATCATAGTCACAGCCCCATTGTTCCGTGACAGTATTCTTTCAGTCACCATTT